TTTGAGTCCGTTTCTAGCCACTATGGCTCTCATTACCAATGCATCACAATGGGGGTGGTGAACTCCTTGTGCATCTTCCTGGGAGAAGGTAATTGGAGCCATCCTGTTGACCTCTTGGGACTCGTTGACAATGTAAGTGATCATTGGTGGGTCCTTTGCTTTCCTTGTGTAATTCCTTTGGGCGTTCCTAGTGTTGCCACCGAATTGAGGTTCCCCAATGATTGTGTTAATTTCCCTGATGATTTGGCCCCCAGAAAACGGGGCCTGATCTCTTTGTCTGGACTCTCCTCGGTCCCTTGATTCTCTTTTTCGGGGTGACTGCTCTTTGTGCCTTCTCTCTCCTATGTTCGGGGAGGTGGATCTGCGAGGATATTCATTCCTCCTAGAGGGGTGTGGCTTGCTCCGATTCGGGCGTCGAGGAGTGTCTCTGCACTCGTCGGTGTTATTCCCATAAAGTTGGTGGAAAGTGCAAAATCTTGCCCCTTCCAAGGGCCTGTTTGATCGTTTCTTCTTCTTTTCTTACTATCAGTTCTTCCAGATGGTCTTGCTTCGCCAGGAGCATTCTCGTATGCCAATACCGGCGTTGCATTCAGTGACAGAAGCCAGTGCATGTTCGAAGGTGGGAGCTATTGTGTGACCTGCTTGAGTCCATTGCTGAGTGACAAGGTGCGCTACGGGTCCTCGACTTACCTGCCTCTGAGGTGGAGGAAGTCCCTGCGCGACACAGTTTTGGTGATCAATCATTTCTTCACTGACAACTTCCAAGCCCCCAGAAAACGGGGCCTGATCTCTTTGTCTGGATTCTCCTCGGTCCCTTGATTCTCTTTTTCGGGGTGACTGCTCTCTATACCTTCTCTCTCCCATGTTCGGGGAGGAAGATCTGCGAGGATCTTCGTTCCTCTTGGAGGGGTGTGGCTTGCTCAGATCCGGGCATCGAGGAGCGTCCCTGCACTCCTTGGCGTTATGCCCATAAAGTTGGTGGAAAGTGCAAAATCTTGCCCCTTCCAAGGGCCTGTTTGATCGCTTCTTCTTCTTTTCTTACTATCAGTTCTTCCAGATGGTCCTGCTTCGCCAGGAGCATTCTCGTATGCCAATACCGGCACTGTATTCAGTGTGACGGAAGCCAGTGCCTATTCGAAGGTGGGAGCTATTGTGTGACCTGCTTGAGTCTATTGCTGAGTGACAAGGTGCGTTGCGGGTCCTTGACCTACCTGCCTCTGAGCCGGAGGGAGTCCCTGCGCGGCACAATTTTAGTGATCAATCATTTTTTCACTAACGATTTCCACTCTCATCATTTCCACCAGTTTATCATAGGTGGCAGGATTCTTGCTGCACACGTCCCTCCAGAACAAGGTGTTCATGTTGAGGCCACCTTTTAGAGCTGAAAGGGATTCTCTATCAGTGACCTGTTCGCAATATGTGATTCGTCTGTAAATTTGACGAGATAGATTTTCAGCATCTCTCTAGAGGCCTGCCTCATATCTTGCAAGCGTTGCACTAGGGCCTCTCATTCTCTGCGTGAGAGATATTGGGTCAAGAATGCCTTCTTCGAATCTGGCCAACTCTTAATGCTCAGGGGATGAAGTCTGCGATATCACACTTCAGTAGCTTCGCCCAAGGTTAGGTGGAAGGCTCTGCATTTCAAAGTAGGCGAGGCTCCCCTGAGGCTCATCTGTGTCATGTACTTGGTGAGGTACTTCTCCGGGTCCACCTTTCCTTCATACTTGGGGATTTTAGGGGCATGAAGTTTGCTGGCATTGGGAAGTTTCGGATCTCCCTTGAAAAAGGGAACTTATCATCATCGTCAATTTCATAAAATCGACAAGGCCCATCTGATCTTTCATCATCTTGAATATCCTGGGGAGGCGGAGGTGCTTCTCCTCGGCTTCCCCAATCGACTAGGGTCCTCCTATCCCTCCTATTTTTAGGAGGATGTGTCTGTTCTTGCTCATGGTCTTGCCGAATTGATCTTTGCACTGAGCGGACCCTATTGCTAGGGTCCTGCCCCATTCAGTCGAAAATGCTTACTGACCTTTGTTCCTCATATTTTTTTAGAGAAATTGTCCCCTAGTTGTAGTTCTGCTGGCTGGCTCCCTTGCACATAGGATGTGACTTCCGCTTCCACTTCTCTTTCGAGGGGGCGTTCTCTACGTTGGCTCATATGGTCTTGGGAACGAGATACAGGGGCTTTCTGCATTGGGTAAGATCCTTGGGGCATTTGAGATCCCTGGTGACCTTGGGCTTGCATGAGAAGTTCGTGCATTGTCATATTTTGAATTGCGATGTCTCTCACGCTCGGAGCTATTTGAGTCATTCTTTCAGTGAGCATGGCTGTTCTTTCACCTCAGCGACGCCGGTGATGGGGTCTCTGGTGACTGACATTGTTATGGAGCACCTTTTCTTCAGAGGCCTCTCTTATGGGGTTGTCGTCTTCATGGCCGGAACTCATTCTATCTCCTTTTTCAAAGGTGATGAGAACTTGGGTTATAACTCGACTTTGTTCTTTTTCAAGAATGTGCCTTTTTTTAGGGTAAGCCACTAGTTTTCCGGTGATTTCTTCGGTGGAGAATGCAGAATTTTGAACGGGAAGTTTTCCATAGACGGCGCCAATCTGTTGACCTCGAAAATTGGACCCTCCACGTGGCCAACCGATAGAGCCACTCCACATATTCCTTCCTGTGCACAATCAACGCATGGTCAGATGCACACGATCGGAACTAGTGGGGACGACGGCGGCTGTATACACTCCGATGGTCAAGTTAGGCTCAAGTGATCGGAATAGTACCAAGGTTGTGCAAAATAATGGAGATATATATATATATATATATATATATATATATATATATATATATATATATGAGATCAATATACAAGCTATTGAGTATCAAAAACACTTGAGATTCATTCCTCATTCCACAATCAAAGATCAAACACTAGTTTTAATTCATATTCAATTTATCTTATTGTGTTCTTTAAGTTTTGGAGGATTTCACTTTGTGCTTTAGTGAAAAATCCTTTACAAGGCTTGTTATAATCCTTCAAACCATTTTTCGGAATACCTTTAAGCATCTCATTCAATTAGGAGAGGAGAAAAATATTGTTTGAGGCCAACGATATTGTGTTCGGGCCTTCGATTTTATCTTTACAAATTTCTTGGTTTGATTCATAACCTACTGTATTTTTTTTTTCTTTTTTTGGTTTCTTCCCCATCACTCCATTGTTCTAACAACGCCAGCAAAAGTATAGAGTGGAGAAGATTGCGAAAATGGCTCCTGGTGTTTCATTCAGCAACTACTTTCTTCTTATCCATTCTTCTTATAGTAAGAGTTTCATTACCTTTGCCTCTTGTCAAGCCTTGGGTATTTATAGTTGAGGAAAATCGTTGGATGTGAGACACGTGTATACATCTGACGGTATGAGGCGTCTGCTTATAGGCGTCAATCAGCCGCGTCTATAGAGTGGGCGGGTAATTACTTCTCCCGAGTTGAGTTGACATAAACTTGATACGTCACATCAACTAGCCTCATGGAGATGTTAAATCACTTTAAACCTTGGGGCAGAAAAGATCTTGACAAAGTTCTCATTCTGAAATTGGCGGCGGATCCTTTGACAGAGGTCCTCGGAGTACATTTCGCCTCGAATCAGGGGCGAGGTTGCTTTGGTCAGTCCCGCAGAATTGCCTATGCCTCGCAGTGTGATAACAAATCGTCACCATTGGTGAAGTCACTTCGGAACCACTTCGAATGAGTGTTCCACACCTCGCATGATGTGGTGGTAGACTTTTTGAAATGGTTCAGATAGGGGCGTAACAATGACTATAATAACATTTTTGTATTAATACAAAATTAATAAGAATGTTGAAACATCCTCATACTAATACCATATAAAAAGGTGTTCTCCTCCTTATTTCATAAATCAAAATTTAAGAGCTGTCAAAATTCTCTATAATTTTCTCTCTTCTCTATTTGTTTTCAATAGACTTATTTTTAGTAGTTTAAATAGTAATTTTTCTAGCTTGGTGATAGATGCGTGAGCAATTTTAGTTCGCCTGAAAGTATTGATGAGATGCTGACCACCTGTTATCAACCGTCATGTTTGGGAGACAAAGACCGTCGATCTTCTTCCACCACAATGGGATAAATTTGTTCTAAGAGAATTTTGTGAAATACAGGTCTCGGTTCCTGTCAATACCGCTATTATATCAACAAACATTTTTCCTCTATTTTTATTGTTACTCTGTTTATTGAAATATTTCTTTTCATTGTTTTATTTATATGATTCTAAAGATATTTATACTTTTTTTCAAATAGAAAATAAGAATATGTGCCACCTTACATATTGGACGAGGAATAAAATGACACAACCAAAAAATTCAATAGAGCTGCGGTATCACCAAAAAGATAACTATTTGAAGCTAAAGAAAAGTCAGATTTAGGATCTGAACAATGCGTAGGCATTATCTATCACAAAAAGAGCTCTTTTTTCCTTTTAGTCAAATGAGGAAAATGTGTTTGAATTATGTTACAGCTTGAATGTAGACTTCGTAGAAAAATTATGCCAATTCATTGAAATATGGTAAGCTACAAGTGAGTATTTGAAAGATCATTTTCTAAGGTAATGGAGACAATTGGTACGCACAAGAAATTGGCCAAATCAACGATTTTTTGTTCAATTTCTCGTGGAATCAAATTCTCATCAGAATTGTGATCAATCAAATATTGCAAAGCCCTTGTATTTGTACAGCTTCCCTCACAAGTGGGGGCCAGGAATTTTTTATTGGATGCGGGTCCCCCTCTCTTGCAAGTGTAATGTATATCGAGCTCTCAAAATTTAATATGTTTTATTATTTTGCCTCTTTTTGAATCTCATTCTTTGAAAATAAAAAAAAATTTAAACAGTACTTTGACAATAATTTAATCATACATTATTCAATAAAATAATGTTATATTCAAATTCAAAATTTTGCCCTATTTTTTAACTATAAAAAGAATAGGCTCAAAACGAGCTCACCAAAAATGCCAACGCCGCAGTGCACGATGAAGCCGCGTGATAATTTGTCAATTTCTGAGCCAGCCCCAGGGACAATGAAACTGCAAGGAAATTCCTAATTTTCCCCCAAATTTTAAATATTTAGCTGGCAATTTTATGTATAATCTTCATTGTCCGATGCGGATTGCTGGAAAGGTACGTATTGTCGCCTACCATTCTCTCAATTGACTTCGATGCAATTCTAGGGTTTCAGATTATATGCATATTGTACAGTTTAGAATATGTTTAATTATTACAACTTTCGTTTATTTTTTCCGTATTTGTAAACATCATTGACCTTTTTTAATCATTTTACTCGTCGTGAATAAAACTATAGCGCCCAATTGTTTATTCTTTTTGATAACATCCAATCGGCTTCTTCTTCTCTCCTCTTTGAATATACATACACAGTTGAACATTTACATGTAAAAAAGTTTGAATGACTTCAACAATTTCCTGTGTGGAGGACAGCACTTGTTCTTTTTGGTATCACTTATCTGCTTGTAAAAATTATACAGTTATGAAATATTTGTCTGAATTTTGAATTTTTTTGCTTCACCAAATTTTCATCTGTGCAGTCATCACATTTCGTACACA